TATCAGGGAGAAATTCTGACCTCAATTGTTTTGTCTTGCAGGCAGACAGCAGCTTCTAGCCTCAGCATTTTCATTAGCACAGTGTTTTCATTAAAATCTCCATTAACTTGTTTGCAGCAACTCGATGGAATTATCCCTCCCACCAGGCCTGGGGCGAGATGGTTGCAGCGAAGCTTTTTCTCTTTTGGCCTATGGAAACACTGCCTCCAACAACCACATATCACGAGGGGAGCAGGGACCCACTTGCTGACACTATTAGAGGGGGGAACACCAAAAAGACTATTAATATAATTTTTGTGCACTGTTTAGGCAGAAATTTGTCCTTTAAAATATTTTTATTTATTTTTTCCTTGTTGTGTGCCATCAAGTCAGATCCAGTTGGCACAGGAGGAGATTGCCCCTCCTTCTCCAGCGGAGCATCTGGTAGATTTAAACTGCGTGCTTTCAGGATTGCTGCACAGCTTCTTGCCACTAGGCCATCAGAGCTCCTTTAGAAATTTGTCATTTTTAAATAAAAATATGCCTGCTTTGTTATGAGTTAGAACAACCCATAGCTGACTTTCCAGCAGGTTTTCAGAAGCAGAAGGAATTGCCCATCTTTTTTCCACAGAGCAGCTTGTGGATTCAAACCCAGTCAGTACCTTTGAGTTGGTAGCACAAGTCCTTACCACTAAGCTTTTAGAACTATCTGTGTTGTTAGGTGTCATCAAGTCAGCTCTGTCTCAGAGACCTTGCTGGCTTATGGATTGGTGGTGTAATTCTTTTGGCACCAGGTCACCAGAGTTCCCTGTATTGTGACTAATGTTAGTTCCCTTGAACTCGTTGCAGCTAATCTAATAGTGTAGGAAGATCTTAGCAACTCATTGTTAAAAAAACTATAAACAAACAAAACCACACACACTCAAACTCACTGCCACTGAGTTGATCCTGACCAATTAGGGTTTTGGGCTGTCAGTCACAACTGGAAGAGACTACCCATCTTTTTCCCTGTGGAGCTTCTGGTGGATTCGAACTTCTAGAGAGCTGTGATTTTTGGGTTAGTAGTGAATTCACTGTGGACCACCATGCCATCAGAGTTTCCTAATTTGTTACTAGTATTCATATAGCCTGGGGCTTTGGTGGCCTAGTGGGAGCTGTGCTGCCAACCTAAAGGCAGGTGGTTCAAATCTACCAGCTGCTCTAAGGGAGAGAGAAGGCAATCTTCATCAGTGTGATTTACAGCCTCTGAAAAGTCATTGAAGTGTCAGTTATGAGTCTGTTCTGACTCGATGGCACATGACAAGTACAACAATAACGTTCATATAGTCTAAGAAATACCACATTTAAGCAATTTAAAGCTGTACCACACATTATCCTGTGACTAAAATGGATAATAATCATTACTGAGGATTCTGTGTAGTCTGGTATGGAGGAGGCTCATGGGGAGGAAGATTCAATGAGTTAATTACACTGGGAGACATCAATTCTAGTAACGTCACTGTCTCAGTGGACAGCTGAGGGCATCCTCAAAGTACAGTAGCCCTGGGACCTGGACAAGAGGATCCTATCTTCTATCAAACACTTTGCTTGAGAGGAAGAGAAGAACTGCAGTTTCAGTCACAAGAACGAGGGTTAATGGCTAGATCTAGCGGACTGGTTATTCCAAATCTGATGTTGTTATGTACCATTGAGTCACCTATGACTTACAGTGACCCTAAGTACAATAGCTCTGAACTCTGCCCTATCCTGAGCTAGTCTCCATAATTCTGACACACTTATCACTATTACTCCAGTTACTGTGTCAATCCATCTCCTCTGGAGTCTCTATTGAACTAACAAGTCATTTAACCTTTACCTGTTTGCTCCCAGAGCTTAATCTTTTTTGTTTGAATCAGAATCTCAGAGTTCTTAAATGTTAGAGCAAGAAGAGAGATGATATTTAGTCTGATACCCTTATTTTACAGAAGTAACAGATACAGAGAAGTGAATGAAATGACTTATACAGGCTCATACATACATACATACATAAATACGTACATACGTATGTACGTATGTACATACATACATACATACATATTAGCATATTCAAGACTAGAACCTTTGTTATTTAACTTTCATCATTTATACCATGTTGTTGCTAGAGATCAATTACAGCTAGTTCAAGGGGCACTAATGAATTTAGGACAATTTAGCAGCTTCGTGGACAAGATCATTTGAGTTGAGGATTTGGTTAGGATGCAGGTGGGACCTGTGAAAATGTTGGAATGAAGCGAGAGGAAGGTCTCAGAGACCAAACTAACCAGTTATTATTGTGTCTCTGAGACATGTGTTACACAGTAGATCTGTATGTGTATCTGGTTTTCAATGGCAGTGACCTTTTGGAAGATTGCCAGGCCTTTCTTCCAATGTACCTCTGGGTGGACCTGAACCACCAAACTTTCAGAGCAGAGCACTTCATTGTTTGGACCACTCAGGGGGCCTCAGCAATCTTATGTCTTAATCTTATGTCTTTATTCCTATGTCAGTTCTTCTCCAACAAAGTTTGACTTTGAGAAGCTGGCACATGGCTGAAATGTACTCACATGGTAGGGGGAAGATTGTTCTTCAGTCCTCCTCCCTACAAGGCCTCCTGCTTAAGTACCTGTCATCAAAGGAGATGAAGATGAATCCCCCCCTCAGCCCCCACACCTCAATGAGTTGTCAAGAAATCTCTCTCCCACCTGAATAGGAAGCAGGAACAGCAGGCCAGGTTGCAGGTTGAGGAAGTCAGAAGTGAACTTGAGCTGAGTTTGCAGCTCTGGAGAGACTCAGGAGCAGGCTTTTCTCTTGTCATTTTGGAAAGAGAGGATTTTGAGGCAGCCCCTTTAAATAGCATTCCCGTAGGAGGCAGTTCACATCTATCCGTCACCCGCTGCCAAAGCATCATTTTTGGTCTCGATCAAACTCAAAACTTGTTGGAAGGGATCATTGGGGTAGGGGTGTGAGGAGGCAGGGTCTCCAGAAACTGAAAGGGAGAGAGAGGACTAAGGCTGAGTGGAATGCTTCTGGAAAAGGTGGGGGTGGGGACAAGAGGAAAAGACAGAGAGAATAGCAGTCTTTTGAACGTATGAATGGAACAGGTATACCCTGTTCTTAACACTTTTGAGGTAGATTAAGGAAGAAACAATTGGATTGCAGCATGAGAAATAAAGTTGAGGTTAAATACCAGAACTAGTGACTTAATGAAAGAAAAAAGGCCACATAGTATAAAAGACCCTGGAAAAACGTTGAGAGACTTTTTTGAAGGGATTTATTTTCCTATTTAAGAATCATATTAGGATAGGTTTTAAAATTTCTTTCAGGAATAACTTTGATTTTTCCCCCCTTTAAATAATCTTTTCTTAAAATGAGTTGAGAGTTGGGGGTTGGAAGAGTGATATGCCTCTGTATTGGCAAGAAATAGTAAGAGATCCCTTTGGAAGCACATTTGCTCTTTTCTCACCTCTTCCAGTTTAAATATCTACTTAAATTGGGAAACTCTTTGGGTCTAACCCTGGGCACTAGTCCACCCAGCTCATTTCATTTTCAGTTGGTAAGAAATGAAATTGCATCCAATTTTTGAGAATTTGATTATAGGGGAGGGTCTCCATTGTAGGTATTTCTTGGCTGGCACTTTTCTCTGGCAAAGAAGGGGTGGGGGTGGGGGTGGGTAGGATAAGTTAAATGGACAGATGAGGGAAGTCCCAGTGTTCTTCCTATTTTTGTCTCCATTTCTGACTGCCATCTCCTTCTGTTTCTGTATTTCCCAGGATCTGGTGCTGCTGAAACTTCTGTCTTGCCAGATCTGAAAGCCTGGTCTAACTTGGCAATTCTTTTATGTTGGGAGTCTCGACTGTGATTAACTTTTTCTTCTTCCTGCCCATTCACTTCTCTTCCACTGTCAGAGAAAGTGAGGGTTGATGGCCTACCAGATACTGAAAACAAGTACTTTCTCTTGATCGTCCTTCTGTCCAACTTTTTCTGTTGTTAGGTGCAATGGAGTTGACTCTTTTAGCAGCCTTGCCTAAACAGATCAAAACCAGGCCTGGTCCTGCATTATCCTTACCAATCTCTGTTGTGCTCAAGCCCCTGGTTGCAGTCACCGGGCCAATTCATCTCACTGAGGGGCTTCCTCCAGGTCTATGACCCTCCATTTCTAGAGTTCCTGAAATTAACATTTACGTTCTGGGATTCTGTATTAGTGGCCCATTCAGGACTCAGCAGTTAGAGTATACATGCATCCTCATCTTCTATTTACATAGGATTCTCCCAAATGCCTAAGTCTGTGGTCATTAAGGAATAGAACAATACGAAGGAGGATGGGTGGTTTCTGCAGAAGTTCCACAGCAGATTCAGTTGAATAGGAGGGAAAGGTCTTAAGTCAAAATTTCAGCTTATTTGTTTTGTAAATGCTTATTAAAACAGCTAGGCTGTTTCGTGTTGGGCCTTCAGCTCTTTGATTTCTTCCATTGAGGAAATAAGCTGGAACGATGCATGAGAGGTCGAACTGTCTGTCAGGAAATATTTCATGGCTATAATGGAATCCTGTGGAATCAAGGACAGCCTGATCTGGAGAGCGTTGAACTTGGGAGAAATTCCCATCTGGCCAGAAGTGTAGTTGAGGAGTGGGGTGTAGTTGACGGGGTCAGAAAGATCAGACTGGGAGAGAAGAGAGGTGTGGGAAGCCATCACCGTTCAGGATATTTCCTGAACTTTTCTTTTTCAAGAAAGGCGCTTACGTTTGAGGGGTTGGTGTGAGGTTGGGTTCACGCAGCCAGAGTGCCCCGGGATCCCCGGGGAGCCATCTGGGAGCGTCTCTACTCGCCTTCACATTGGAGTCATACACACAGCTTGGCACACATGGATACATGAGAGCGCACACACATACACGGAAACTCAAAGGGCTCACCAAGGGAATCCACACACCACCCTCCCGGTGTCCAGCGCTCCGCCCTGCACTGGGTAAACACATTCACAGAGCTGGGGCACACGCAGCCACTCGCCCCGGGCGCCTGTGTGCGTGCGTGCGCTCGCCCTTGGGCTCTCCTGTCTATGTGCGCCTCGGGCTTCCAATCGTTCCTTTGGGAAAGGGAGGAGAGGCGGTGAGGAGTGAGACAGGCAGGCGAGCAGAAGAGCAGGGAGGGGGAGCGGGAGGGGGAACCTGGCCGGGGAGGAGGAGAGAGAGAGGCGAGGAGGCGGCTCTGGCAGCGCGCGGCGGCGGCGGCGGCGGCAGCAGCGGCAGCGGCGGCGCGGAGAGCTCGGACTGGGAGCCCAGAGCTCGGCTGGGCAGCGGGAGAGGAGGAGCCGCAGAATCGCAGCTTTGCCAGCTTGGGCCAAGCCTACAGACACCAGCCTGGCTGATCCACGCCAGCCGCAGGTGGGAAGGCACCGGAAGGGGGCTGAGGGTCTCCTGCTAGGGATGATGCTGAGCCGCGGTCCTGTCCCCCCCTCTGTTCCGCAGACCGAGACTGAGAATGGAGCTGTCCCCTCGCAGCCCTCCCGAGATGCTGGAGTCGGATTGTCCGTCACCCCTGGAGCTGAAGTCAGCCCCCAGCAAGAAGATGTGGATTAAGCTTCGGTCTCTGTGAGTCCCCGAACAGGGGATGGGGGAAGGGACCTTAGGGAGCAAATGGGGTGTGTAGGGGGGGGTAGTCGGAGCGGGCTGGTGGATTCTCTCAAGCACACACACTGGCAGGTGCGAGGAAACACGGCCCTCACACGCATGGCCAGGCCACATGTGCAAGGCATGTGCAGAGTAAGCCGGCTGTTTGGAGGGGGTCTAGGAGTTTCTAAGCTATCGGTATGCCAGTGGACGCCCCCCTCCCCGTGACCCACGCAGCGAAGAGATGGCACAGTATGTGTGGTGTGGCAGGGCTGCAGACGGGCAGTTAGTTATTCAGGAGGTGCCAGGCTGACTCACACGTATCCATGTGTGCAGGGTTGTGCAGCTGTGCGACACATCACATGTGTGTGCTTAAGTGTACGTGGGTTACAGATGCGTGAATAGTGATTGCACACAGCTGCAGACCTAGTGCATGGGGCTTCTTGTGCCAACCTGTGGGTAATATGCATCTTGGTTGGCATTGGTAGTTGCTAACTCCTGCAACCAACAGGGTATGAGGTTTGGGACCCCTATACCTGAGATGCTCTTCTTTCCAGAGACCTGGAAACTCATTCTGCATGTTAATCATGAGAGGAGGCCACCTGGGAATTAAAAGCAAAGGTGGAGGTGGAGGTGAAGAAAGATTGATTATTGATGGGACAAGATAACTGCCTTAATCAAAACCTTTTTGGTTTCTAAAGATCTCCAAGTACATTTAGGCATCTTTTCTCATTGTTGGAAGATCAGGGCAGGTGGGAAGGAGTAAATGGGGAAAGGTGTCGCCTATTCCAGTCCTGTGGGGTGAGGAGGAACTTTTCTTCTTGGTCCTTAAATGAAGGAGGAGAGGACTGGGTCAAAGACAAGCCTCCTGGAGTGTTTACCTCTCAGTTGGCCACCATTGAGTGGTTTCTGCAGTCTGTTTATTTTTAATTAGAAAGCAAGAGAAGGTGCCCCCTCCCTGAAATGACTCCCCACAGGCCAGGAAAGCCAAGGGATGAGAGAATATTCATGTTGAGTGAGGAAATACACTAAACTTAGTTCCCAAATCTATCCATTCCCCTCTATCCTCAATAGTTAGCACGGAGGCTTTCCATTTCTGGATTCTGGAGGAGAGCGAGATGGGGGAGGAGATGGGTAGATGTTTATATGATTGTGTCGTTCTTGAAATACTTTACCTGTGGCTATAAGATGATGCTTTTATATTGGGCAGGTGGGCCAGATTTATACACTAGCTGCTTAGAGAGGCCTGAGGGAGAACTGAGGCATAGTGGGCAATGAGGCTTGGAATCCAAAAGTACTTCTCCGTTCCCCTCCCTTACTGCCTCTAGCCAATGCAATTTAATGGGCTCTATGAAGCACAGCCTTGGAATGAGTTCTGGGATGAAGAAATGGAAAACTGAATTGAATTGATTTTTGTTGTTGTTGGGAGGAGCACTAGTGATCCTTGATGGAAAAAGATCTTCTATAAATGGTAACCAGGCTGGGGAGGTGAGCAGGTAAGGAAGGTTGAAAGGTAAAGAAGGAACCTCAGGGTCTAGAAACAGGACTCAAGGTGTCGCAGGGTGCCTTCCTCATAGCACTAATTGATCATCATTTGCTTATTTCCACCCCAGGAATCCAGATTCTTAAAAAGGGAGTTTTACCGTTTTCACTGTTTCTCACATTTTGCTTATCAGAAGTCTTCCCTGAGGGGAGGGGAAATTGCTTTTTCTTCCTTTAAAGTGAGAGACGTTCAGTGATGAGAGGAGAAGGTCCCCAAAGTGAGACGTTGAAACCTGGAGAGAGATGGGAAGTAGAGACAATTGGCCCTATAGAGTGTGTAAGCTGAGATGTTCTTCTATGACATTAAGGTGGACAAGGATCACTAATGTTATTGATTTGATTTTTCTGGTCTTCACTCACTCCAGTAATCTGGTTCTTAAGAATGCTAACTACATGTAATAATATAGCCAGAAAATATCATCTCCCAATTCTTAATCATCAGAAAGATATTCTCGAGCCCTCTTTCTTAGAGAAAGATTTTTATATCAATTCCAAACTGATAGCCCTGTTTAATTGGGAGGTTTAGACAATTGGACAAGAGGAAATAAAGAATTTAGGACCTTTGCTGAGTAGGAGGTAGAAACTTCCTAACTCTTAGGGTTGGGTGTTATTTGAAGAAGGGGACAAGGAAGTGTTCCTTTTAAAACATAAAAATAGAACTCTCTCCACTCCCCCCTGTATCATCACCTGTTTACAAATGGATCTGGAAAGGAGTTTGTTTAGTCTGGAAATAGGAGGCTGGACATGATTATCTTAGGACTGGGCACTGAATGGAAATGAGGACAGATGGATTTTATATATACACAATTTCTTGATTCCCTACTCAACACATCATGCTTTTTCCACCTCTACCTTTTCAATTGTATATCTAGAACATCTAGACTTCCTTCCAGGAGACTGGATCTGGTGTTTTTTTACCCTAGAAAACCCACACTAATAAAATTTGTTGTTTGGAAAGACTTCTAGGTATTCCATTTCCCACACTAGGACCCTGCAGAGTAAATTTAGAATCTGGAATAGGTGAGAGAAAGTATGAGTTAGAGTCTCTATTGTGGCTTTCACCTCTATGGGGGGGGGGGATTTTTTTAAACTAAGCCAACTCCTATCCTTCACCATCATCACAATTTCTGCAATGCTCAAGCCCATTGTTACAGTTACTGTGTCAATCTATCTCCTTGAGGGTCTTCTCTTCCTCTGATGATCCTCCTCCCTTCGCAGCATGATATATTTAGATCTATTGTTCATAGGATCACTATGAATCCTAGTTAACCTGATTGCACCTAAGAACAATAGTAACAAGTCAACTTATAAGCTCAGATGGCAGGGAGAGGTAGTCTGGAGATAATAGAGTGGCCAGGATCATTTTCAACATCTCTACCCCTAAGGTGAAGGGTGTGACATGCCTGTCCATTATTCTCTGGGACCAGGAGTAAGAAAGTGTGGGGAGGGTCAGTAGAAGTAGAAGAACTTTCCTATGACTTTCATGAATTGAGAAAAATGACAAGAGATAGGCTCTGTTCATTCATTCATGAGTTTATTAATTTTGTAATTCCTTTGTTTATTTATTTTTCACCCCTTCATTCATTTAATAAGAACTTTTTGAGTGGTTACTGAGCTAGGTGGTATTCTTAATGCTGGGCTAAAGTAATGAATAAGATAGGTAAGGTCCTTTCTCCATAGGAATTTGTAATCTGGTTCAACTCCATCAAGTGGTTGTGGGAAGAGTAGCACTCTATTTTATTTTACCACACCTACCCAGGGAATTCTGGCAGCTTAGTGGCAAGGAGTTGAGCTGCCAACCCAAAGACAAGCAGTTCAAAGCTACCAGCTGTGTCACAGGAGAAAGATGGCCAATCTCCTCCTCTGCTACTTACAGCTGTTGAAAATCCACTGGAGGGTGAGCTATGGAGTTTTCTGATCTGAACAGCAGCAGCACTGAGTGTAGAGAATTCTACCACTCTGGGTTCCTGCCTGGTCCTTAGAGGAGTTATAGACACAGGAAAAGCATAAATATTCATTCTCTTTGCTTCACCTTATCTTGAAATACTACACACAACAGACAGGACTTTCTTTTTCCTTGGGCATAGCGTAGACACAATCTCTTTCTCTTCTCTTCCCTCCCCATATGAGACACAGTTAGAAACCCCAAGGTCCAGGTTCAATCTTCTGAGCTGTGGCTCAAGGTCATTGTCACCGAATTGGAGCAAGGACTCAGTAGGCTTGGTTTTTTGTTCACCCTTTGGTACATTAGAGTCTAACATGATACCTGGGGCATAATAGAGACTCAATAAATGCTATTAATTAAAGAAAAGAACAAATAGATTAATAAATGTACATATTTGTGCCATGAAGCCCAGATCTCTGGGATCCTGTAGTGCGTATGTATTTGCATGGAGAGGAAGGAGGTAAGGAATGAGGGTGGAAGAAAGGAAAATGATAACCCAATATGATTTGCAAACTTTAACACAAATGAAAGAAAAGAAAATTTTTATAAAGAAAAAAAAAGAAAGACAGGGAGAGAGATGTTTTGTCTTTAAGGGGTGAAGCCCTATGGGTATGGTTTTTTGAGACTTAAGGACAGACACTGGAATTTAAAAAATTACAGAGAGGATACAGAGATGACGTTATTTGGATTGTGAGAATGAGACATGTTGGGATAAAATGGTGCATGCCTGTCGTGATGCGTGTGTGTCTGAGTGTGAGAGGTTCATGTGCATGCTAGGGACATTTTGTTCTCATCCTGTGTGATGCTGTCTCTTTGTTTATATGTTTATGCATGCATGTGTGATAATATATGTGTTGGGAAGCTATACACTCTACTGAGTACCTGAAATAGGCTTTCTATGTAGGTAGTGGAATAACACACATATGTGATCGTGTGTGTGTGTGTGTGTGTGTGTGTGTGTGTGTGTGTGCGCGCGCATTTGTGGGACACTCACTGTAATTTTTTTTACAACCTTTAGGAGATCCACTGTGCTAGGGGCTCTGCAGTTGAGGGGCTGGACTGGGTGGTTCATTGATTCATACCGCCTTTTATCCTCATTTTGCATGTACTCCCTGGAGTGAGCTTCTCAGTTTTAAAAATTGTGCTGCTGTCCTCCTCCTCTACATACGTAGCTGTGGAGCTGCTGTGAAGACTGCAGGATAAACTGTGGCTCCCTGGACTGCTAGAGAAAAAGGAGCATCATTTCTCCCAGGCCCTGCCAGCAATGATTTTCAAAGCCTTCGTCTCCAAACTAACGCCTCCTCCTTTATTTACAGGGGTAGCAGGGGCAATCTCACCTTGGTTTTTAACTACTTCAGGTGCCTTCAGCATCTTTCTTCTTCCATCAGCTTTGTTTTGAACAAAGATTGTGTAGTATCTGGAATGGTAAAGAGTGGATAATTCTTGCAGCAAACTGAAGGGGAGATTCAAGGGTAGAGGAAACCGAAGTGAGCTT